TTTACATATTTGAAGGCTGTTATCATGTGTCCCTTCAGTCTTCTCCTCTGAACACAAAGGATAATTCTTTCAGTTTTCCCTTAGAGGTCATGTTTTCTTCACCTTCAGTCGCTTTTGTTGCTTTGCAGAGGTTATTGTGATGCCAAGCTGGAGTTTTTGTTTCTTCACCTGTTTGCCTTGGGGCATTCATTCTGTTATGGATGTGTGAGAAGTGACCATTATCTTCTCTAATCTATGGTTATTTATAAAGTACCCTATATTCCTGAGCATGTTTTATCATAAAGTATAGCTCTTAGCCTTGATAAATAATTTCCCACTATGATATGATTGTACAAACAGGGTCCTTAAGCTATTTATTACTATTATTATTTGCTTTATTTTTCATAAGTAACAAGCTGTCTGTATAACACTGTGAACGAGCCAGGCAATTCACAGAAATGGACTGAAAGCTATATCTTGTTCACAGAGCTTCCAGATAAACAGGGAGGTGAAGGTAAACACCAAGCCAAACTCTAGTTTAGCCAGAGGGAACAGCAATGAGCAGAGAATGAGAGATTTTCTGAAAAGCAGAGATTTTGGGGGAATCTGGAGGAGTGTTTATAGAGGTGATAATATCAGGGTGGATGCAAAGTGAGAAGAGTTGGAACATTGCTGGGATGGATGGATGGATGGATGGATGGATGGATGGATGGATGGATGGATGGATGGATGGATGGAGTGTAGCCTGACTGGGAGGCTGGGGGAGAACAGAGGGTGGAGATGAGGCTGGGAATGGTGGTGTTTGAGTGAGGTGTCTTTCTTGGGAAAGAGGAGTTTGCTGTAGAGGAGATGTGGGAGGGAAGAAAGAACAGAATTGCTGCTTGTGACATTTCTAAAAGTACCATTTCCAAGCTGCCTTATTGCTCTCTGGTGAGCATCAGAGGAATTTGGTCCTGATTTCCAGGTCCTTGTGGCTGGCTCTCCCAGTGGCATTGTGAAGGGGCAGGTTGGCAGTGGCTGCTTCTTCACTCAGAGGTAACCCTGGGCAACCCTAGCATCTCCCCAGCCCTTCCTCACAGGGAAAAGGAGTGATGGAGTGCCTCCATCACTGCTGCTGGCATTGCTTCCTTGTCAGGAAAACTGCATGGGCTTAGTGTGGAAAGCAGCTCAGCTGTGTCCTCACAGACCATGTGGATGCTGCTGGCTGGTGAGAGCCCTGCTTGGAGGGAAGGAAGGAAGGAGAGCCAGGGGAGAGCCTTTCAGAGTACAGCTGTAATGGGTTCAATGCTCAGAATGGACATGGACTTAAAGTTTTAACAAATAGAGCCTTTTTATAGTTAATATCCACAGTACGTTTGTCCATAACACAGGCTGAGTTATTCACAGAAACAGCATCACTGTTCTGAAAAGCTCTGAAATATTTTATATAATGTTTTTAAATCACAGGATGGTACATTAGGAATTACTCTAAGCTACCCTTTGTCTATTATTATACATTTTTACTGTACAAAACTGTCTTCTTTTCTATCTCTTTCTGCACATTGCCCTGTCAAATGGAAAGTAAACCTAAATCTCTAAAATCTGTACTCTCTTTTTTTTCTGTTTCATTTTTTTCCTTTAAACTTACCTGGAAAATGCACTGGTAAAACCAGTGAGAATTCTTCCAAATAAAGCCATTCAGCAGCATTACATATCAGAAAACTGAACTTCTTTTCCTACTTAAAAGAAAAAAAAATATATGCTATTGTCAAGGTAGATTTAAAAATCTGAAGTCTAGGTAGCTGCTTTATTTTCAGGAATTGCTAATGGCAGAGTATATTCTGAGTCAGGGCAATAGTCACACCTATAAAAGTGATTGGTGGCTCTGATATCCATGATGTTTTTAAAGTTTGTCTCAGGCTTGCACAGTGAGACCAGCACTTGTCTGAGTCTCAGAGTGACAACAGAAGGGCTGTGGGCTCAGAGGGAGCTGGATCTCGGCAGTGACCAGCCAGAATAGATGGAAATGAGAGAATTAATGTGATAAAGTGGTGTGACTGTGTCTCTAAGAATTAATGTTGTCCATATTTATACTCCCCAACCACACCCAAAAACCCCACAGTCTAATAGGAGAAACATGAAGAAGTCCTCAGCTGAAAATTGCCTTTAATCAAATTATATCCCTTGGAGGATATTGGGATGAATTATATGTTCATGTCAGATCAGTGCCTACAATCAACAGAAATGTTTTGGAAAGCTGAAAGGCTAATGCAGTGAATTCATTGTAAGTGTTCCTTAGGACTCTTGAGAATGTGATTTATTTTAGCTTTTTCCAAAACCTGGAAATACAGTTGGAGGCAGTAAACTGTCCCTGGATTATACAAGGGTAGAATATAATTTATACATTGTGTTCTTCCTGTGGTGCCTCTGCCTTTGCAGTTCATGAGGTCTCCTATTTTTCCAGAAATGTGAAGGGGTTGAGATGGAGAATCAGAGTTCAGCTCTGAGGCTTTTGAGGCTTGGTAGGTCTTGTAAATGGATAACCTTGGTGACATCAAGCTGAGCTGAATGATTCAGAGGCTGAGTCCATTCACAGGACACAATGTTCATTGGGAAATGGGAATGCAGCTGTGGATCAGCTGAGATGTGCTTACCTCCTGCCTCAAAGGTCTTGGATATGTTTGGGGCATGAAACTAGCATAACACATGAGGAAAGTCCTCTTAACAGGTAAACCACAGGAAAATAAAACTGTGGAGTGTAAAGGAGGGCAAACTCTGGGTCTGTTTATTGTCAGGCAAATGGCCACGAGAACATTTGCTAATAGATGCTTGCTATGCTTATTTTCACAAGCCCCCAACCTCTCGGATTGTCCCCTGCTCTTTTAGATGTAGCCATGTCCTTCTAACCTGCCTGTGCTAGAGGGACATGATCTGAGCTCCCTAAAAATGAGGAGGTGTTGAGCAAGCAAGAACAGCAATGGTGAAATGCTGGCAGGGCTTTGTGGGTCCTGAGAAGCACATCCTCAGCAGGGTCTGTGCCAGCCTGGTGTTTGTACCATGGTTGGTTACAACCTCTTTGCTCCTTGTCACAGAGGTGTGGTTTCTGCTCCCAGAACAGAGGGCAATGAAACTTCCTTCACACAGAAACACAGAATGGTTTGGGTTGGAAAGGATCTTTAAGATCAGCTAGCCCACCCTTCCTGCCGTGGATAGAGTCACCTTCCATGAGACCAGTCTGCTCAGAGCCTCATCCAACCTGACTGTCATTCACCAGAGAGGCCTTTCACATCCCCTTGCCTGATGAGGTGCTTTCCTTTGAAGCAACACCTTGTCTTCTTAAGGAAAGCAGTTAGCCCTCAATATCCTCTCCCACTGCTCCACAAAGGAGATCTTTATGGTCTTCTCTCAGATTATTTACACCAGTCTGTACTAGTTGATTTTTTTATGATTTTTCTTTTTAACTGCACCTTGAAATGCAGAGTTCTCCCCTTCCCACCACAGCTGGGCTGGCCAGGAGTGCAGGGTGTGGCTGAAGGAATGTGCACATCATGCAAAGCTTGAGCCATCCTGGTTTGTCTGCAATGAATTGACATTGCAAAGGAACAAAAGTCATCCAAACCAAAATTGCCCATTGGCTTTTTGTGTGTGGAGGAATATGCTGTGTGTAGTCCCAACAGAGGCATCTTGCATCAAGAGCTGAATTTTGCCTTTGCACCTCAAGAGCTGGAAAGTCACGCGGGCCCGGGGAGTAATGTTAAAAAAGCCAGAACCTGCCAGAAGGAATTCACAGGAAAGGGAGAAAGAATTTTTCCTCGTGACTAAAACACCTGTCATAGCTGCCAAGACTCTGCTAATTACACAATAACTTTATTATATCCCACTTGGAAGAACAAACAATACTTGAAGCTCCAAAAATGAGCAGCCTTTAGACTAGATTAATGCAGGCAGAATGGCTGTGTGGAGCAGGCATTCACCTCGTCCTCCCAGTGGCTCTGGAGAGTAAAATGGCTTGAAGACTCCCTTCTTTGTTGCCAGTGCTATATAATAAAGTAATTGTGCAGTTAGAAGCAGATTACTGATGGGAGATGAACATTTTTTATGCAATGTAGGTAAAAGGCTGGCTTCTCTGAATAAGTTCAAAGCCTAAGTGCAGCCTCTCTTCTCCTTTTTACTTGAGCTTCTGGTAGTCCCTGGTAACATCCAGGCAGGAGAAAAAGGGGTGTCACTTGTTGAGTGTGGATTTTCTTCCCATGTTAAAATATTAAAAAGGTCTCATGGAAGATTTCACTGTGGTCCCTACCTTGTCCAACACCAGTGCAGCAAGAATGGCTGCAACAGAGGGTATCAGAGGGTCTAAAAACAAAATAAAACATAAGGGACAGAAGCCTTCCATTGCTCCCATCTTTCATGCCTGACTACTTTGCTTCATTTTCTTGCCTGTCTGATGGTGCTAAGAACTTTTGGGGGTCAGGAGGGTAAGGGGAAGATACTGCCATTTGTGGTGGTGGGAACAAGCCTGAGCTGAGCAGGACATTGTGGGGACCTGTAGGCATAAGCCTGACTGAAGGGCTCAGTGAGTTTGCCCAGGTGAAGCTGCAGGAGGGCAAAAAGATGGGCAACAGGCATCACAAATATGGATTTGAGGTCCACTAATTCTTTGGGGATGATGTTTCTGCAGTCTAAGCTTGGTTATGATTTCTGCCAAGCTTTTGATGCCAGAGTATACAGGCACCACAGCAGCTGCTGTCTCATGTCAGCCCTAGGAGAGGACTTCTTGCATGACCCATCTCTGATGTGGTGTCACCCGTAGCTGTTTAACCCTTCAGAGCTGTTAGTCTGGCACCTCAAAGCCAGGAAGGAAAACCTGAGGCATCTTCCCTACCCTGTGAGCTACTAAGAAAGAGAAACTGAGCCTGGGGATGGGACAACCAGCAGGAATGCCAGGACGGGCTGGTGGTGATCCACTGCCAACCTGCAGCAATCCATGAGCTTGTGATCCCCTGTCCTCTGCTGTCCCTGACGGATGTGTGTGCTCTTTGCAGGCCCCGTGGCAGTGATCAGCGGAGAGGAGGATTCAGCCAGCCCTCTCCACCACATCAACCACGGCATCACGACGCCCTCGTCCCTGGACGCCGGCCCGGACACGGTGGTGATCGGCATGACCCGCATCCCCGTCATCGAGAACCCCCAGTACTTCCGACAAGGTCACAACTGCCACAAGCCAGACACGTGTGAGTGCCCGAGCCCCCCGAGGGGGGAGGGATGGGCTGGGGGCATGGGGGAAGGAGGGCGAGGAGGAAGAGGTTAAGAGGATGAGGAAGAAGAGAAGGAGGTTTTTGAGGAGAGTGGGTCTTGGTATGGTCCAGAAACCAAAGTGAATCTCAGGTCTCAGAAATCACAACATACATGTAGATGCTTCCAGAAAAGACTTTCCACTCTCACCTTCACCTCCCTTCACCCTCCCTCCGCCACCCACCCGTCACCTTCCCCCCCTGCCTGAAAGTGCCATTCCAAGCCGGGCTCTTCCTCATCAGCTCCAAGCTCCAAGCTGAGGTCCCAGGTGTGAGCGAGAGCCCCCTGGCAGCACGGGGATGGATGTGACCCCTGCTTGGCTGGGGAAAGACCTGCCTCCCCTTCCTCCTCCAGCAGTTTGCCAGTCATGGGGCTGCCTCTTTGGCTCCCCAAAGGGCCAGGGGAAAGCTCAGGATACATGGGCATAGGTGTGGCAGATGCCTGGAGCTGTCTTTGTTTCCAGGAATTTTAGATGCTGGATGTCTTGTTTTTATGGGCTTCTGTAAAGCTTCTGCATCTTTCCTGTATAAATTTGGGTTATGAACTGGGCTTATTAGACTAGCAGGAGGTGATCAAGTGGCCCTCTCCACTTTGTGTTTCTAAATTCTGAGCATAAAAGAAAAGTGCTGTGTAAAAGGATGCTTTTCTGGGAGTCCTGCGCCACTTCCCACACGAGTGGTGGGATGCAGCCTTCCCCAGCATGTGGCTCACAGGCAGTAGCTGAGCTCTCCCAGGCCTCTTACCAGCTCTGAGATGCAAGCTGAGCCATGCAGGAGATTTGGGAAACATTCCTCTCTTGTTATTGCACATCACTTTGGTGTGTCCTGGTTCTAGGAAGAACTGGGAAAATAACAATCCTGCAAAACAAAAGGTGAAAAGCCCTCAGCTTGGGCGATCTCTGTGGCCCAGAAGCAGGGATTGCTGTGCTGATGTCACCTCTGCTCTTCCTTTGGCTGCTGCTGACACATGGGTGCAGGAGACAGAACTCAGCCCCTGAAAAGAGGGAGAAGACCCATCTCCCATTAAGTGGCATTAAGTGCTCAGCAGGAGAATGCTGCTCCTGCCTCCATTCCTCCATCAGGGGAAAGGGAGCTGCAGCTGCTGCTCCCATGGAGGCATCCCTCGGGCAGCCCCCAGTGTGCCACCTCATGGGTCCTGCTGGCTTGTGCCCAAGCCCTTAGCACCATCCTTCACTTGCCAGAGCAATGGGATGCACCCAAAGAATGTGCCTGGCTTTCCCTTTGATTTTCATTTTAATGTGCTAAATTTGGTCTGTTTGTAGAGAGGGGAGGAGGAGGGCGGTGATTAAGCAGGAGTGGAGAAGCTGAATGTAGCGTGGTTTTTCTGTGCTGTTAATTATATATTTTACATTTCTTATAGCACCTCATCTCAAAATGATTTACAAACTCTGATGGCTTGGGAGGGAGGGCTCCCCCGCTTTACTTTTTCTTCCTTTCCCTCCTGTGCTGTCTCAGATCTCTTTAATCTGCACGCCGACCATTGCAAGACGTGGGTGCTGTTGAGGCTGTGCAGTAGCAGAGCTTAAACCTCGAAGGATTAAGTTTTGCTCTGAGCCTTTGCCCTGTGGGACTTGTCAGAGCTGGGTGGGCTGCAGGGGAAGTCACTCACAGCAGGATTTGACCTCAGAGCTTCACGGGGCTGTGTGAGTAGGATCTGAAGGGCTCACAGAGATGCTTGGGTGGCATCTGGAGGCACTTCTCCTGCAAAGGGTGGCACAGGAGGGAATGCTCCAGGTTTTCCAGGACTTCAAGGCCATGGGGCTGAAACCAAGCCCCATAACACTGGTACTCCCATTGGGGGAAAATAAGTGGCAAACTACAGCTGATGCTTGCAGGTTGAAAACCCTATTTTTTTTAGATATCTTTGTCATTCATGGGGCAAAATCCAGTCCTTGACTCCTCAGGCAGAGTTGAATTTGGTGTATATTTTGTATTTTAGTCCCCAGGCCTTAACTTGGTCAAAACTTGTGACTTCACTGGTGGCTTTGCTTGAGGCTGGAAAATTTCATAATTCACCTATTAAATTAACCATGCTTTGGGGAGCTTTTGCTGTAAGGGGTTTATTTGATCTGATGTGCTCTACTCAACATAAGCCTGGGCTGGAGAATATTTGTTGCTTATGTTCTCCCTGTGGTTGTCATGCTGGAGGGTTTTTCTTTCCCCCTGTGCAGAGCTTGGACACAAACACTTCTCCATTTGCTGTCACTTCTAAAGAGAGCTCCTCTCAGCTGGGGAGTGCCTTGATGCCCAGCCGAGCCTGTGCAGATACAAACTCCTGCCACCACCTCCCCCAGAGCTGCTGCCCAGCTGTGAGCAAAGGTGTTCTGTGACACCCAGCATCTCTCCTTTGCACTGAGCTGTTGCTAGAGCAACATCTGCAGCGAGCATTTTCCCTCTCCAACATGAAGCTTTTCTCCTTGCTTCCTCCTGCAAGCATCCCTGTGCTCTTGGATGCTGCCTGGGTCGAGGACATGCCGATGCTCATCGCCGTGCTGCAACGAGGGGAGCAAACTCTATATGCTTAATGCAGTATTAATAGTACATTGATGTGATATAGATTTCTGTCACCTTCCATACTAGCAAGCATCACTTATCACGCAGGGATGACGGATGTTTATTCCCAGCCACTTAGCTCTGCATAATGGAATTGCAGCTGAAATATGGAGAGCAGCTCCCTGCCTGCGGAGCTGGAGGCCTCTCGCTCCCTCTGTGCAGTGCTGTCCCATGGGATCTTCTTGTTAATGTGTCCTCAAGGAGACAGAGACGTGTTCTACCCTGGGAATGTGCTGTCCTCCTGTCGATGGGATGAAGGGCACAGGAGCCAGCCCTCACTTCTGGCTTTCTGGGATTTTTTCAGTTGTCTTATCCTCTTTCTGTTACTGCCTGACTGAGTGCAGAGGTGGGACAAGCTTGACTGAGAATTCTTTTTGCCTTCCTGGATGAGGGGTTCTCAAAGAGCCGTGGAAGACACCAGCACTACCCTGTTTTCCCATGTTGGAGCATTTAGCTGTTGAGAAGATGCTTCCCCATCTCTGTGCTGGAACTCTGTGCCATGCTGGGCACAGGCACCAGGTTTGCATCCTGTCCTTGCTTCAGCTCTCCTTGGCCCTACCTGGAAGGTTAAGGAAGGAGTTTGGCAATGTGGACAGTCCAACCACAAGTGGATTTCAAAAGAATAGGCTAAAACTGACTTTTTCTCCTGATCTTGTGCACATGGAAGGGAAACCAAGTTCATACCTGCTTGGCAAACAGCAGCAGGGGGAGCAACAGGTTGTGATGAGTTTGCACCTCTATATCTGGAAATAAACAGATCAGAGAAGAATGGGACTTGTGGCAGGCATAATGGGCAGAGAAAGTGATGAGGATGAGAGTTTAGGACAACATAACATCAGCCTATGGTCAGAGATTTTGGTAATGTAAAACATGATCCAGTCTACCCACATTTGTGTCCAGAAGTCAGCTGTTTGTTCTAGGCAGGTTTGGCAGTAACAGCAGCTTCTTACCTTGTCTCCCTCTCTTGAAGTTCAGGATTTGAATTCAAAACTCAAGCTTTGTAATTATGAATAGCCGAAGATTTCTGTGGTGAAATATTGGTAATGTTTCAGACGAAACATTTTGGAAGGTTGTTTGACTTTAATAATAGTAATTAAGTAGTAATTAATTCTAAGCACAATGCATCAGATGCAGATTTGTTCTTGGATCTGATCTCTTGAGCTTTACTCAAATGCCACGGCACAGTTTTGGAGTTGTTTGGTTCCCTTGTATTTCTCATCTAACAAAACAGGTCTTCTGGAGAATGACACAAATTGGAGAAAAAAATCCAAACCCTGATGGAGAAAATTGGTTTTGGGGGGCAGATCCTCCCCTGTGTCCCAGCAGTGGGTGCTCAGTTGCAACAAGTACTCTGAAGCTGGACTTTTGGGGCAAATTCTTTGATTTTGGGGAAGGTTTTTGCCAGCCATGACTGGAGCTGGCTGTGTTTTCCAGGACTGGCGCAGTCTGGGTACTGGGATCCATTCTCCACACGGGTGGAGCAGCCGTCCTTTCGTAGAGTCCTAATGAGGGTTTTTTTCCAACCTCATTTATTACAGGCTGCCCTGACATAATTACATATTCGAAGTTAGTAATTACACGTATTCATGCTAATTAAGTAATTAGATATAATTACACTAACTGTAAATACATGGTAATCGGCTAAAAAGAAGTACTTCAGAAAAAAACAAGGCAAATCACACAATAAAAGTGCCATCAGCACTCTTTCACTCAGTACCCTGTCTTTATCTTGTATTTCAGTGAATCTTAAAAGGAACATCATGGTCATTTATAAAAATCATATTTCTTAAACAAATAGATTTTCTTACCTCTGCTTTCAATAGATCTCGAAAACTAAAATGAAAAGGATATTTACCCTTAGCACTCTAATTTTTTTTTTTGTTTGCCTAGTGTGTTTTGTTCATCCTGGGCATGGGAAGATAAAAAGTATGCAGCATTTCTATTTTCGGTCAGTTCACGGTCCCATTTTTGCCAAAAACAGCAACAACGTAAAACTGAAGTCATAAGTGCTTGTAGTTTTATTTGCCTAAAAAAAGAAAACTGAAACAGTTGGTAGTGGAAAAGAAACTTTTCCTTTTTTTTTTTTTCTTTTTCCAGGGATAAGAGAATTTGTCAAATATTCCTTTTGTAATATAAATGTGGAGTGCAGGGTGAAGTGACAGCAGCACTCTGCTTCCCCATGCCCAACCTGGGGCCGGGCTCTACAGGTTTCAGTCCCTCACACAGAGCTCTGCTATTTCTCCAAACTATTCTTTTCCTCTTGTCTCCTCCAAAATGAAGTCCCCAGGCTCTTCTCCAGAAGGAACCCAGCTCCCATTACTCTTCTGAAGTAGGCACTAGTGGGTGAAGACTCTTCTGTGCTGGAG